AGTATCCTGTGCTCCAGATGTTTGTTATTCTACATTATAAAACCTAATATCTGAGTTTAATGTTTGTATCTGTGAGCTCCTCTCTTCACATCACACAGACTGAGACAGGAAGTGACAAAATAAGCAACAAATAAGGAACAAACACACACACACACACACACACACACACTCCAGAGTACAGAAATAAACAAAGCTAAAATAAGACGACATTAATATATTAATATGAACTGAGTTGTTTCTTTAAGTGAAACTAAAAGAAGGAAATTATTTCAGTGACAGTCATCATTAATATCATCTCTACATGTTAGGCATGTAACGATATGTTGAATTTCGCGGTGTCGCGATAAAATAAATTCTTGATACCGTCGTGGGAATGCCACGGTAGTTATATAGCTGCGTTCTCCTACAGAGCCGGTAATATGTGTGACTACATTCCCCATAATCCTTTGCATGCAACTGCACACGCAGGTGAGAGCAGACTCGTGCAGCTCAGCCTCCGACTCTGACCCATGCGTGACCGGAGGAAACAGCAAATAAAAGTAAGGAGATTGATTGTTTTTCTCTGTGGATTTTCTCCACGACCATGCGTCATAGCGAGAAGCCTTTCCGACAAGACCAAGCACTTGTCGGTAGTCCAATGTTTTCACAGTGAAAAAAAATGATAAATTTACACTAAAATAATGTATAACAAAGCTTTCATACGGCTTTGCACACACATTACTTTTGGATGGATTACTTGCGAATGCAGGGTTGCACAGAAATGCCACGCATATCACATGAAAGCGCAGGACCAGGGCTTTCCTCTCTTCATCTCCTGTCCTGAGAAAGTGTTAGTGTCTCCTTGATGTCAAGATTGTCAACCTGGCGTGAACAAACTGAGTGAATGTGTGTTTTTGAGTTTTTCTATGACTTCCAGGGAAATGGCTGGGCTTTATTTATTTTGGTTTTCTTTTACACACATCTCTACCCACCTCTCTCTCTCTCTCTCTCTCTGTCTCTCTGTGTATCTGTGAGTGAGGGATTGTGTGTTATTGAGTTTACATTATTTCTAATTTGTTAATTTTGTTGTTGCAGGGTCTGATTGTTCTAAGTTCTGTATATTTGATGAATATTAAGACTACTCTATCCTCATAATTTGATGTCATTCAGATGACTTTCTAGTAATAGTACTACACTACTTTTGTTCAGAGTAGGTTAAAAAATACTGAATGTTTCCATTTTCATATTCTGTCACTGTAGTTTTAATTGACATGACTTTGTTATGGCACTTTAATGTCTGCCTGCCTAGCAGTAATAGGGGGGGAAATGAAAGCACATGTTCAACTGTGTGTTGATTTGTTTATGATACGCTTCCAAGTTATAAATAACATGCTGTACATGCACTATTTTTGAATAAAATAGCTATTTTTAACAATAGATTTTCTCTTTTTTTCCCCTTGTATAAATATCGTGATATATCGTATCGTGAGTTTCTGGTATCGTTACATCCCTACTACATGTCACCTTTTTTTTTTAAAATCATATTAATATCAAAAGAATCGATCGCAGCAGAATCATAATAAGATTCAGAATCAATAAAATTCAATCGATACCTGACCCAGTGAATCACCACAGCAGCACCATATAGAACATACAATCTCAATATATGACCAATATATGATCCCAACAGTGACCATACGATTTCATCACGATACATTTTTGCTGTGATTTTAAATGTTTTCTGACGTGCTGAGAACTGAAATAAGATAATCTGGATTATATTGTGATTTTTTTACTGTATTTAACAGTAAATTTTGTCTGTTTTCTGTTTCATTTATTAAGATTATATTTTATAGACAAAGTTTCTTACTTATACTTTTTATTTTATTGAAGCAGAATTTATCTCCTGGACTGATTTTATTATTCTAGTAAACTACCACAGGTTTACTTTGTATTAGCAATATTAATCATTTATAAAAATGTACAAGATCAATACTTGGCCTCTGTCTATCGTTTCAATTTTCCCACATACAATACTGCGATACCTCCCCATCACTGACCTCATCTACACACAGTGATCAATATGTTTTACAGAGCGTCTCGTCCATCAGATCAGAAATCATCCTCAAATATCTGGATCATAAAAACTTCTGTAACGTGACGGAGCTCAAACTGAACTGTAACAGATCAATGTGGAGAAATGAGACCAGTTATTTCACCCGTCATCATTGGCCTGTCACACACTATCAATATTATAATCTAATCTTTCATTTTAGGCCGTAAGGTGAATCAGAAAAAGTCTCACAGAAACTGATTTCCGCTCCGACATCTGGGGACTACACGATCTTTACTTCATAAAAAAGATCGATACATGTTCAGCTAATCAGCAGGAGTTTGTAGCTCATAACCCCGCAAGAGTCCTGTGATCGGGGTCGTAATTCGGCACTTGTTCCGTCTGAGCGTAATGAGATTTGGTATTCGAGTGGTGTCACGGCCGTCATGTGTTCACGCTACACCAATAAGGTACCCGTATTTTGTGTCGCCATGGTTTCATTCAGCAGAGGAAAACAGACCCAGAAGTCCTCAAAAGTGAGCAGAAATGAGCTGAAACAGCGCTATTCACATTGCCGTGTCCATGAAACACGATGAGACAAACAGACAATAAGGTGAACTAAGCAAAAATGTCTTAAAACACATTTGATTCAATACCTGGGCATAACCGACGTATTATTACATAGACAACATAGCTGTCCAGTACGGAATACGAGAACGGCCATGTATTTTTTTTTTTTTGTGCACTGTTATCTCGTGATAATGACTTATTATTTCATTACCTCGATATAACAAAGATTGTTTTCCCGTGATAAGAATTAATTATCTCGTTATCTCGATATAATAAAGATTGTTTTCCCGTGATAATTGTCAAGTCTGATGATTGCGCACTGGTTAATGTGATCGTCTTGATTTCAGCCTACAAGAGCTGCTGTGGTCCTGCTAGATGCCTCCTGCTGCTTGCTGTTATCATTAGTCACACTTCTGCTGTTATTATACACCTATGATTATTGTCACATACCCTACATTTCCAAATAGTCGCCCAGTGGCATATAGCCGCTGGGCACCTAATAGCCGCCGGGGGTTTGACCCCATTTTGCGTATTAAACGCCGAGGCAATTATTTCCTCATTCATTGCCCCAAGAAGGGACAGCCCTGCAGGCAGGGAGGGAGCAGCTCGCGAGGGCTGCTCCCTCCCTGCCTGCTGAGGGACTGTTTGCGCTTTTACGCACGGGTCGGTGGTGAAGTGGCGCACATGACTCGTGCTACGGACGGACGGACAGACGGACAGACAGCCACGTATCTAAAACAGGTAATACATCTGGCTACATCTTTCCCAAAACGTTTGTACGACAAGAGAAAAAACTTTTATGAACTCTATCAAGTGATCAATGGAGCAGGGTCATGTATTCATCTGCAGTCACTGAGGGAGGGTCATGTGTTCATCTGCTGTCACTGAGGGAGGGTCATGTGTTCATCTGCTGTCACTGAGGGAGGGTCATGTGTTCATCTGCTGTCACTGAGGGAGGGTCATGTGTTCATCTGCTGTCACTGAGGGAGGGTCATGTGTTCATCTGCTGTCACTGAGGGAGGGTCATGTGTTCATCTGCTGTCACTGAGGGAGGGTCATGTGTTCATCTGCTGTCACTGAGGGAGGGTCATGTGTTCATCTGCTGTCACTGAGGGAGGGTCATGTGTTCATCTGCTGTCACTGAGGGAGGGTCATGTGTTCATCTGCTGTCACTGAGGGAGGGTCATGTGTTCATCTGCTGTCACTGAGGGAGGGTCATGTGTTCATCTGCTGTCACTGAGGGAGGGTCATGTGTTCATCTGCTGTCACTGAGGGAGGGTCATGTGTTCATCTGCTGTCACTGAGGGAGGGTCATGTGTTCATCTGCTGTCACTGAGGGAGGGTCATGTGTTCATCTGCTGTCACTGAGGGAGGGTCATGTGTTCATCTGCTGTCACTGAGGGAGGGTCATGTGTTCATCTGCTGTCACTGAGGGAGGGTCATGTGTTCATCTGCTGTCACTGAGGGAGGGTCATGTGTTCATCTGCTGTCACTGAGGGAGGGTCATGTGTTCATCTGCTGTCACTGAGGGAGGGTCATGTGTTCATCTGCTGTCACTGAGGGAGGGTCATGTGTTCATCTGCTGTCACTGAGGGAGGGTCATGTGTTCATCTGCTGTCACTGAGGGAGGGTCATGTGTTCATCTGCTGTCACTGAGGGAGGGTCATGTGTTCACACTGATAAGTAGAGAACAGTCCCTAATGAGGTGCTTCAGTTTCATTTATGGACATGTTAGCTTCATGTTTGCAGCAGATTTTGTTTTAGCTGCATGAGGCTGGGTTGTTTTGTTGTTGTTTATTTGCTGTATTGTTTCTTTCTGTGAAATCAATAAACACGTCTATAAATAAACTTTGACGTAGCGCAGCAGAACAGTTGGTGCTCCGTCACACCGGAGTCAGTGTGACTTAAAGTCAGATTAAAACAGTTTAAGGTTTAAATGTTGGTGCAAAGTTCTTCATGCATCGGTGTAAACAGGCTACAGACAGACAGACAGACAGACAGCAGATGGTGCACTGTCTCCTGTGCACGTCAACAAGCTAACAGTCTAACGTTAGCAGGCTAGCTGCTCCTGATCTCCAGCCTCAGTAACTTTAAACTAAATAAAGTTTTAAATGTTTAATGTTAACAAAGATAAAGTCGAGACGTGTTAAAGCTCCGTCACATCAGTCACCACCCGAGAAACAGCTGAGCTACCGAGCTAACGGCTAGCATCCCATTCAATAACACAGACAAAGCCCACCGAGCTAAGCTAAGCTAAGCTAAGCTAAGCTAAGCTAAGCAAAGCAAAGCACAGCCGATTGCGCCCAAACGTAGTGTCCGGGACAGCTCACCGTGAGCGGGCACCTGAAGCTAACTGTCCCGGCCGTCCCTCCAGCCTCCTTCCGGTCCCCACACTCACCTTTACCGTAAAACTTCTTCCCGCTGGTGACGTCGAAGACCTTCATGTTGACGGCCATGAGGATGCGCGGGTTCTGGAGCCCGTCGTACTCCCGCAGCTGCTCCAGAGTGAAGTCCCGTCTCCTCATCTTAGGCAGCGCCGAGGCCTCGTCGCCCAGGGCCGCGTCGGAGACGAGCCGCCTGCCCCACCGCCGGTACACCGCGACACACACCGCCACCACCGCCACCACAATGCTGACGTTCAGCAGCATCCCGCCGAGCCCGAGCCCGTCCGACTCGTCCGCTGAACCATGGCCGCCGCTGGTGTCTACTGGTCCGCTCGAACTGTCTCCATCGTCCGCCATACTGCTCGGTTAGCGCCTACCCGCCCCGGCCACAGGCTGCGTTCACGTCCTGTCGGGAACAGCGGAACCACTGGTTGAGCGGGAACTGAGAGGCTGTTCCAGTGTGTGCTGGGGGACCGCTCGAGTTAGGGACTGTTCTCTATGCAGCAGCGGTGTGAGGCTCGGGTCAGATCAGGCTCCACATACACACTCTGAATGTTTACAATAAACGAAATAAGAAGGGACTGTTCTGTATGTCTCTGTAAAGGCCGGAATAACCCAAATCTCAATGTGTACACATATATATAAACACACACACACACACACACACACTCACACACAGATATATATATATATATATATATATATATATTTAAATTTAAATTCATGAATAAAGAACAGTCCCTTATGGTAAATACACAGCTGCAGCTAAGGACTCCTTTCATTATTGATTCTACTGATTGTTTTATTTGATTAATCAATGAATGATTTTATCTGCAGATGTCAGCAAACAGTGAAACACGTCATCAACAGTTTCCAGGAGCCACAGTGACAGTTACGTCACCAACAGGCCAAAATACAGAAGAAGACACTCAGCCAAAGGTCTTCTGATTTAATGACACAGGTAGAAAATGATAATCAAATGTGAGGAAAATGACACGATCACATCACAACACACTGAAGAACTTTAAAAGTTCTGACCCCTGGTACACACAGACAGACAGACAGACAGACAGACAGACAGATGAGAGAGTGTGTGACACATGACACAGAGACCAGTTTGGTACAATCAACTGTTCCTTTATATTTTAATTCATGTTACAGACGTGTCATCAACATGCATCATCATCATCATCATCATCACTAAAACACTCCACGCCACACGACCGATAAAACAAATCACGTCTTCAGATCAGAGAATAACTGAAAATCATTTTTATAGTATTTACATTTTTTTCTTTAATTCAACTCTAAAAACCTTTTTATTTTTTTAAGTCACTGATGAAGGAAAGACAGGAAATGATTGAAGTGCTGACGAGCACCAAGCCTCAAACAGGAAATGAACTTCAAGCTAAAATATAGTGTCGTTTGATGACGCCAGCCTCACGCCATCGTTCCAGCAGAAACCATTAAAACTGCTCTGATTCCCGAAAACTAAAAATCTAATCACGTAAAAAGAAAAGAATAAATTATTCTACGTGCGTGTGAGCGTCAAACGGAACATTGTTCTGCAGGTCAGTCGGGGGGCGGTCCTTCACTCATTACATCACTGCAACCTGATTGTCACCATAAAATAAAACAGATGTTTGTGTTGTATGAAATGAGTACAATATGAATCAGACGGTGACACCTGGACAGGTGACGAGTCGCTGACATCATCCTCAAGTTATTAAGGCACGCAGGACGACCTGCCGTATGTTGGCAAACTAGAATCACAGCTGCAGAGGCGTCCGAACAGGGCGGAGCTCCGAACGACACTTTTGGCATCTGAGAGAAGAAGAAGGCAGAAAATGCAGGAATGCATTTTTTTTTTTTTTTTTTGTAAACGTTATGAGCGGAGGATCGGGCGCGCAGGGTCAAGCTCGCTGCCTACATGTCGCTTCGCTTTAAATGAAATGCACAGATAAAAACAACCTAATTAAACCACGCTCAGTGTCTCTTCATACCAAACTGTCTGCTGCTGAAAAGAGCCGCTGCTGACCTCACAGCTGCTGCCGCCGCCTCCGCAGTCTACAATTGTATCCAAAGCCACGCCTACAGGAACCAGCTTCATTTATTTGGCGCCACACTTTCCTTCTTCCCGCCTCCAGACTCGCTCTTCTTCCCGTGGGCAGCAGCACCTGCTTTCTGGGCGTTATCTTTGGCTGCGTTTTGCGCTGTGGCGGCGGCGGCAGCGGAGGATTTGGAGGCCTGCGTAGATTTTGAGGTAGTGTTGGAAGGATGACGCCGACGCCTTCCTTCATCCCCGGCCGAGGATGAGTGACGTCTCCTCCTGCTTCCCTCCTCTCCCATCGGGGGCTGCGAGCACAGAGGTCAGAGGTCAGAGGTCAGGTGATGCATGATGACCAACAGAGACGTGTGGTCGTGACTCACCACCACCCTGAAGTCCTCCAGGTTCTTGAACTGAGACAGATGCTCCTGAAGCTTCGGGTCGATCGGCTGCTTCTTGATCTTTGAGTATTTCAGGAAGGCCCAGAATTTCTCCAGACCGTACAGCTGACCTGCATCATCATCATCATCATCATCAACAGTTTGTTTAGGGTTTCTAATCTACAAAGATCAATAACTGCAGATTTTCACATTCATCTTCAAACTCTTTAATCTGTTATAAAAGAGTTTAATATTTAAATCTACTGATGATGATCTGATGACATCATCTAACGCATCACTGCTGATACAGAGATCTGTGACAGGAAGTCACTGTCAGGTGCAGTCTGAGCATGCTCAGTCACTCTGATGTTTGTTACCTTTCTCAAAGTCCTTGAGTGTCTCCTCCTGGAAATCCTTGAACAGGTCCAACCTGAACCTCTTCTCCAGACCATAACTGTAGTATCTGAACAGACACTCCAGACCGTACCTACAGACAGACCACAGACACATGTTAACCTGCAGACAGACCACAGACACATGTTAACCTACAGACAGACCACAGACACATGTTAACCTGCAGACAGACCACAGACACA